TAACCCACTTCCCATTGGTTTCCTGTATGAGAGGTATTCTTAAATCGCGCACAGCTTCAGCAGGTGGACAACTTCCAACCACTCATAAGCCTGGCGTTCACCTGCCTTACTGATGATGGCCTTACCTTTATGGTCCTTGCGGGATGTGGCTGCATCCTGGCGTCAGAAAACCTTCTTGAATTCTGATTGGTTTTTGCTTATGTATGCTTACGCCAGCCCTAGTTCTTGGGCATAACATATTCAAATCTTAACTTGAGAAATTTCAAAGGCACAATTTCTTTATCTTTTAGAAGAAGGAAATCTTGATTAATTAAACGGAGAAAAAGTTTCTGGCCTTCTCTCTTAGCCGTTCAAAATGGGAAGAACCAAGTTTATTAAATGAAAAAATTTTTACTATAAATAAATTGATGATAAAGGAAAGGACCCAGCATGAATTGTAAATGAAAAAATTTGTATTGGGTGAAGAGACAGTGGCATTATCCAATACCGACCAAAAAGAAAGAGAGGCACCATGATTTGGGATTGTGATTAAAAATCTCTACATACAAGCAATCATATTGATAGGCATTTCAGCAAAATTAAAATATAAAAGATTTGAGCTGTTTATTCAGTCAAACCTATCACCATACATATATCGATAATGGGGTTGGTAATATTTAATTGATTTGTCGTATAAAATATAAATAAATGGATGAGAATTTGTTACGTAATCAAACATCGAATGGTCAATGATTAAAGGGAGTTTTTGAAACTGCTCCATCGTCATCTGCATACATAATTAATGACAGTTAATAGTTGACTTAAAGGAACGCCCTTGTTGGTGCCCTCGATTTGCGTCCCATCAATTCAAGATTAGTTTAGTTAATTCAATGGCTATGAACAAAGAGAGGATTAGGTTTAATCCAACAACACTTTGATAATTTACCTTAAATAAATAAATAAAAAAGCAGCACATAAATGCATTATACGAGGGACGGAGAGACCTAATTAAAAAGATGAGCCATTTAATTTGGTCAAAAACGATGGGTGGTGATTCTTGCCTTAAGTTCCAATCCATGTTCCATGTTATTCCATATCTGGCTAATTCATAAATATGCGTTGCAAATGAATGAGCGGAAGATAACCAATCCTTGGGTAGTCGAGTGGTTTGATAAGAACTCTTAAGTGTAGAGGTGTACAAAAAATCCGACATTCGATATCTGTATCTGATCCAAAAAAATCGGATATTCGAAAATTCGTATCGGATTCGGATATCAATTTTTCGAAGTTTTGGATTTCCGGATTGGATACCAAATTGACTCTGCAAAGAAACCGGATATCCTAATTCGATCCGGTTTTGTCCATAACTACAAGTTTTAAGAAGTTATTTCGGGGTCCTAGGTGAAAAGTGGTAAATTATGTGGACTGTTCTAAAAACGATGACAACATTGGGGGCCAAAATGTAATGAAATGTTGATGTGGCAGGGGGTACAAAAATAATGCAAAATTTTAGGGGTCAATTTAATATTTTCTATGCCAATTCAAATAAGGCCGGATCAGACAAAATTTGCATCGGATTTGGATCAGGTGTTATCTTGATCTGAATTTTCGAATCAGATTAGACAAAATCCGCATCGAATTTAGATCAGGTGTTATCTTGATCCAAATTTTTGGATCGGATCAGAAAAATAAAAAACCAGATCAAATATCTGGTTTTGCACACCCCTACTTGGGTGTATTATTTAAGAGGTCATAAGTTCGAGTCTCTCATCGGTTGTTAATAAGGGTGGTCATTGGCAACTGGAACTCTTACCTGACCTTAATTCTAGGGTCTTGGAGGATTAATTAATGTATGCGCAAAACTGGTTAGCCGTAAAAAAGAATAAAATAAAATAAAAAGAGCGGAGGATAAACTAATTGATTAGATTTCTTATAATGAAATTAAGAGGTTTACGAGATTTATTTAATTTGAGTTTGTGCATCAAGGATGGAATAAAATTATATAATCTTACTGTGATAAAATTTTGTACTGGGTGATCTGGTCATGTTTGAGCCCCTCCCATTTGCTGCCACATGTTTCCCAGACTTATTAAACGTTTGGCGTCATTTAGGAAGATAAGGCAGGTGAATTTAATAGTGGAGTATGACTTTTGGGGGTTCAAGATAAGCGTGTGGAACCCATATCCCCCTTACTTAGCTTAACAACAGATTGAGACAAATTTTTAATACCACCTTGATGATCGTCCCCAAGATTACCCACTTTCATTTATACAAAGAGCCATAACCTGATTTTTCTTGTTGGACTGTACTGTACTGATTTAAACCCATATCTTCAACTCTTCTCTCTGGTATCTATCAAATCGTCAAACCTAACTAGTTTGGCATCCAAGAGTTGGAATTAAAATAGTGATGTCGATGAGATAACAAGCACGTGTATAACATGTGATCCCAACAACATCGATATTGTCATTATACAAGGAAGAATTTTTTTTTGGTAAGGAAGTTTCTCTAATTCTCCAAACTTTCATGGTATCAAAACAAGAATTACATGATCATCATCTATCCAAGTATTAAATTCATCATATTGATTACAAAAGACAAAATTAAAAACAAAGTTAAAAAATGCCATCTTCGTCTTGCAGTATATTTATAGAGATCATAGCCACAAAGCCCCGGCATCTTTCAAAATAGGCACCAATTCACCAGAAATATGAGTAGCCATTACCTGATCCAAACCGCCAAACAATTTCCCTCCCACAAAAACAGCTGGAAATTGTATTGACCCGTCATTAATCTCACCTTTCAGACCCTTGATTCTCAATAAGTCACCAACAACATTAGCTTCATCGGCTTCCTCAACCTCAAACACCGCCGGGTTTACCCCGTGCCCTAGCAACAACGTTTTCACAACATGGCTCATGCAACACCCACGTCTTCCAAATACCACCACGGCATTCTCCAACACCATTTTCTCTACACTGCTGTTCTCATTATTATCGGGTTCTGCCCTGATGCCGCCGCCGCGTGCCGGCGAGGTGCTGCTGCCGGCCGCGGCGGCGTGGAGATATGTTCTGTAGGGGATTGCTTCTTGCATGGACAAAGATTGAGTTTTGAGAGAGAGAGAGAGAGAGAGAGAGAGAGACAGGGGGGAATGTATGAATGAAGATAGAGGTTTGTATAAAGACTAATAATTTTATAGTAAGAGAAGATAAATAGAAATGGAGAAGACTACAACGTCAACGGCAGTTACGCACTCTTGTACGTCAGAGGGACTGTGGGTGACGTGGCGTTGCGTCACCGCGTGGTTAGATGGATTCACCCGTAGGTACATCCCAATGAACATGACCTTTGCCAATTGTCATATCTATCCAGATGTTTAGGATTTTTTTATTATAAATTAAACTAAAGTGGAAAATAAAATAGTTAATGGTCTTGAACAATTCCGGATTAGTAGTGAATTAATGTGGGCAATTGAAGGAATCCATAGAAAACGTCTAAGAGCTACTTTAAAGAAAGAGGACAAGAAACGAAATTCCTCCTAAATACAATGAATTTACCATTGCATTTTAAAAGGTAAATTCGAGTTTGATATCTCTTAGAGAAAGAGTTAAAAGACTTTTTCTCAAATAATAGCTTAAAGATATTTTCCTATAGTATATTTTTAAAATATTATTTTATTATTTAAATTAATATTTTAATGACAAATACAGAGTAAACTCAGTTCTAGAGATGATAATAGACTCGATATTTTTAGGTATCCAGACTGACCCATCCCTAAAAGGTCAAGCTTTACCTGGTGTTAACGGGTTTGGGCTTGGGCCTGAGACTGATTTTAATGTATGCCCTTGGGTACGGGTTAAGCATAAGTATGTCTTCAGTCTTGGCCTGACCCAACAATTTTATTATTAATTTTACTAAATTACCTTTATACTATATATCTAATTACATAATTATCTTACATATATATAAAAAAAATTAAAATTTATTAATATTTGGTAAGTATTAAAAAAATATTAATATTTAAAAACTATTTCTAGAATTAAAAATATAAAAAAAATTGAAATTTATTAATATTTAAAAATTCACATTATAAAAATGGGCGAGCTTGAGCTGGGACTGAGATTACAAAAAGCCCGTCGAGCCGGGCTTAGGCTTTACCTGTCATTCCCCTGACGGCCCTGGATTGGGACTAGGCCTTTGTCATGGGGTCGAGCTTGGGCCTGGGCCAAGGGGTACCCGATCTCGACCCGACCCATTATCAACTCTACTCGGTTCAAACTGTTGGGGCATTTGAAGAGTGGAGGTCAATAAGTCATTTGGTAGTGTAAGGTTGGTTTTTTTATGATTGAGATTGATCAAAATTTGACTTGGAAGGGCGGCTACGCAAATCCTTATCGCTTAATTACCAACAATTGATGATGTTGGTAAGAGTAGAGTTTGAGAGATTTTTATGAGTTAGGGAAGAGAATGATGGTAGTATAAGATTGCAACAATATCGGAATAGTAAACGAAATATAAATTTGGGTAGTGAAGTGGTATTTTAAAGTTTGTGGGTGAAAAAATATTATTAAGTCATTATTTTGGTGGGAAAAAGTCGTTTACTCTCATATTTAATTCTATCTATATAGTGCGGTAAATCATAAATTGTATTGCTTGCTCTTCAATTAATTTATTGCCTTTTATTATTATTTTGAATTTTATACTCTCCTTGTTATGAACTCGTTTTGTGTTTTTCATTTTAATTCTCTCATAAAAGTTGCAATAAGTATACATATAAGAATTTNCAGTACATGTTGATGCCTGGTTGAGGCTTCTTTGTGAAGATATAAAATCAACTATAGTTTTGTTGGTGTGATGTGTCCTCATAAAATGACTTAGCCATGTCAAAGTGGTGATCACCAAGTGATTGCTCTAAAGGAAAACCTTTTTTTCTTAATATATTACATCAAATTAAGATTCTTGGTAAATCAATTAACTTTTATGGACTGGCATGCTGAATTTTCTTCCTTTAATTATTGTCATGGTTTTGTGTCTGTAAGAGTTTTAAAATCACCCTCTAGGTAACGAATTCTTTCAATTTTGATAGCTGCAAAGTGGTCCTGTGAACAACCACAGGGGGAAGAAGAGTCTTGTCTTATCTGCATGGGGTGATGATTCTATGCTCTCAGAAGAGTATATTAACTCCTATTATATTCCAAGTAGTTATCAATCTTTTGGCGAACAAACACAGCAGAATTTGGTATTTACCTTTTGATGCTAATTTAGCTCTAGTTATGGTACTATTTTCTTTCTTTTTACTTTTCTGCATCTGTAAAATGAAACTATATGGTCTTTTGCTCAGAAAAGGTTGAATGAAGATGTTATAGACTATGATCTTCTTGAAGACTTGGTATGTCATGTTGATGAAACATGTAGTGAGGATGCCATACTCATTTTTACCTGTAACTCCTTTCAGTAATCCTTTCAAATTGATCATTCATTCATGGGCCCGTTTTGTCTCTATATCAAAACTGTTATTTTGATGTAAACAGGGAGTGTCAGAAATCTACATTTTATTTGATAGGTTAGTGGCTTCTTATCGATTTGGTGGACCATCTTCAGATCCTTGACATTCATCTATAGCATCAACTGATCAAAAAAAGGTGTTCTTACGACCTCCTGATAACATATGGAAGGTAGATTTTGCTTTATTTTACTCTTGTGGTTAACGATAACGATATATACTATTCTTCAGTGATTCTCTGTTTGCAACAAACTTCTTATGTTTTATTTTTTGGGGATAATATTGTGCTAGTCTGCTTTAAGGAAATAAAGACTGCAGATTTTTTTTTTTTTTTTTTTTTTTTTCTTAATACTGAATTTTCGACATTTTCCACTAAATGTAAGACTCGTTATACTTTTACAAAAAACTATGATAAATGATGTTATTTAACACCTATATCCTTATGATCTTGGTTATCGTTGCTATGAAATAATTAATTTTGCGCCCGAAATTATCGATTTCATCTTCAAATACTTATGATCCAGGTTATCATTGCTACAAACATTGCTGAGACAAGTATAACGATAAATGATGTGGTGTATGTGATTGACTGTGGAAGGCACAATCCACTAAAGGTTTGGGCCATTTTGATAAAAGTCAAATGCTCATATCATTCAGAATGTCAACTTTGCTAGACCATTTTCAAACCATTTCCTTTTACAGGATTTGGCATGATGAATCAGAAAACTTCTCAGTGACAATTATAATATATTTGATGGAGCAGAATTTGACCAAAAAAATGATGATTTGTTGATTAGAGGTTTCTTTCTAACGTGGCAATAATGTTGCTGACAATTAACAAGTTTTACAAAACAAATTTGTTTGGTGGCCAGGGCTGTCTTTAAATTTACATCAATGTTGGAAATATGTAATTATATGACATAAACTTGTTAGGTAACCTGTTTGAAATTTGTTTTATAAAAACAAAACTGAAAATGGATTACAACAAAAGGTTTTTGGTCTAATTATTATTATTATTGTTATTTTGATAAGAAACACGATATAACTAATTATTATTATTATTGATAACTTAGAATTAACGAACTCATCTAACGAACTTGAGTATGAAACTGGGAACTAGAGGAACCCTAGAATGTTTGGGAAGGTATTTTGAAGGCTGTGGACCAAAGAATTGAACCGTAGGCCGTTTGGGAGGAAACCATATGCGTAATAAACAAATATAAAAAATCTGAATGGGAATTGAATTATACTTTTCAACTTTACTGCCTGTGGCTTAAGCAGGCCCTTCAGTCATATTTTATCACCTTCTTTTATAGTTAGGCAATGCACCTTAAAATCTGAAGCTATTAGATCGAGGACCTAATGAAACATGGATAGTCTCATTAAATACTTATCCCATTGGTGTGGTGTGCTCTATCACTCCACATAATATGTTTGAGCCTGACAAAATACTTTGCCTAGTGGGTCTTACACGTGATCTGTTATTGAAGCTTGATTTTGACACCAACTATTCGCACGTGTGAAGTGCTAAGCGGACTTAGAAATCACACGTGATATGGAAATGCAGAAAGAGAGATAAAGCGGGTAACAATTTTTAAAGTGGTTCGGATGCTCTACGGCGAATCCTACATCCACTGTGATTATATTAAAAGTGGGTTACAATTAGGTTGTACTCGACGAGCTGAATTACAACAGGGAAAATAAATGGAGAGAGAGAGAGAGAGAGAGAGAGAGAGAGAGAGAGAGAGAGCTTAGATGGTGAATGAGCCAATCATATAAAATAAAGGAGAGCCTTCTAGTTATAGTGGGAGGATCCAAGCTGGCAATCATGATTTTGCATGCAGGCAGGTCTGGTACAATTCCTAACCCGTTTCCTATTGGTTGCCTACACGAGAGGTATCCTTAAATTGCTTATAGCTTCAGCAAGTGAACACTTCCCAACCACTCATAGGTCTGGCGTTCACCTGTCTTACTGACAATGGCCTTACCCCTCTTGTCCTTGTGGGACATGGCTACATCTAGGCGGCAGAAAACATTCCTAAATTCTGATTGGTTCTTGTTGACGCATGCTTACGCCAGCCTTGGTTCTTGGGCATAATAGAAGCCCCCTAGTTTTTAAGGATTAAACCTTCAGAATTCATGATTATGCCGTGACTTGGGCGGTCTTAGATGACGCTTGATCGAGCTGGTTGAGCTGCATGGATCCCTGAGAATTGTACTTAACAACCTGATGTAGCTTTTTTATGGTAGGTTCAGTGACCTGACTCAGGTTGCGATCAGTGTTGTATCAATATGTCCTGAACCTTGACTCTATTGTGTGACTTGAGAAAGTTTTATCACCTCTCTTATCAAAAGCGAGGGGTCACGTTGCCTTGAAATCAATGAGCGGTGAAGAGTGTTAATTCAAACGACCTCTTCAGATGTTATCCGTTGCGCATGACGATTCACCTAACCAATAAAATATTCTTGATTCTGACAGACTTGCCCATTACATAATAAGTGCCAGCCATGAGTATTTAATGCGCGCCATGCTGAAACGACATTCTCCTTTAGGGCATTAAATGCGGATAGGGGCGCATTTAATGTGGAGGAGGGTAACTGAGCTGTCGTTTGGTTATTCCAATCGTGGGAAACGTTGATTGGTGTTTCTGAAGTGTGGGAGTTACTCTTCTCGGGGATTAACGACACGTGGTCGTAATCAATGGCAAGGATCGTGTCCTGCCCAAACGTTGCCCACTCAGGAAACCCAATCAACGCCTTTTTGCCTATAAAATCTGAATTTGTTTCAGATTCATTGCCACAAACTGTCATTCTCAGAAAAAGAAATGAAGCTCTCGCAACAGTTAGCCCGCCTTCTTCAGTTGATGCGTACCATTTGTTACAACAGAAAACTCTTCCCACGCCGTTAAGAGGTAAGAAAAGTTTCTCTCTTGCTCTCTTTCGTCGTTTGATGATTCTGTACGACTAGTTTGGTAATGGCGAGTATAGGCTATCTGGTGGGCTTTCGCAGTGCGTGTCCCCGGATAGTGGTGAGGAGAGGGGTTTAGTTTCTCTTGAAAGTGAGAAGTTTAAGGCACAGATCCTTGGGGGTTCACTCCCATGAGGTTTTTGAGGGTTTTGCTAAGGTTTTAGAAGGATACATTAGGGTTCCCCTTGTCCTTCCACATCACTGTACGAAACATCGTACGAGGGCTGAGCCTTTTTTCTTTCTTTTATTATATATTATCACATATTACTTTTTATTATTTTTTATTATGTCGCCCCTTTTTAGACCTTAGGAACAATGGACGTTTCAGCGACCAGGGGAGCCGAAGGCACGAGCTTGCAAGCGCCAGCCGCCCAAGCAGGTCCCGTGCTAGAGACCTTGTCGGTGATCACCCGAGAGGAGATACAAAAGGCAGTGGACCAATACATGCTTAGCGTGAATGTCTACCAGCACAGAAACCGTATGGCTCGGAATTCCCCAAAGGGAAATGCCGTGATCTCAGAGAGGATCTTTAAGTGTGGGGTGCTGATAACTTTACATCCCTTTGTAAGGTCGATCTTTAACCACTTCGAAGTCGCACCAATGCAGTTAACGCCCAATGCGTATATGATAGCTATTGTTATGTACATTGCATGTGGCGAAAATAGCCTTGGCGAGTTGACGGCACTAGAGCTCGCATGCTTTTACTATCTGAAGAAGGGCAAAAACAAGGATTCCTTCTACCTCTTGAAGCGATCTACAATTGAGGGAGGGATATTCAATTACCCCAGCAACGTCGGGGCTTATGAAACTAAGTTTTCTTTTTTTAAATATGATGGCATCTGCCAGTTTAGAGAGCCAAGTATGTCTTTCTTTTCCATTTGCGAGCTGTTATACCTTCGGTTTTTGTGTCTGATGAAACTTTCTATCTCTTCGCAGGGAATAAGATGACCAGGTTGGGAAATCTAACAGATTACAACCAAATCGTCGCGTTTGGCCATCTTCCCGACCTTTGTCGTGACCATTGCCAATTTGAGGAAGTACGACTTTTTCAACTTGGAAGTATCCTTAGAGTCAGACTATAAGTATCCCCCATACTTAGAATACTTTTTGGTTGCCTGCAGCGACCTGTATTACTAACATTTTTATGGTGCGTAGCGATCATGCCACCCAAGGTGCTAAGAAAGTTCGTGTTTCCCTGGGTCGCTCTGATTGAGCTAGTCGAGGCAGTCTTTGGTGATATCCCCACAGGAGGGATACAAAATGGCACTGAAGGGTGAACACCTCCAAAACGACATGAGGAAGCTCCTCGGCTTGTGGCTGCTCAGCCTCCCAAGTAGAAGACCGTGGGCCAAAAGACTAAGAAGAGAAAACAATTGTAGGTAAAAGAATTGGAGTCTAAGTCAGAGGGTGCTGGGGTGCCACCTGAGAGTTCGACACCTAACCAGGCTTTTCACTCGAGGCATGCCCCATGCGTCTCAGTGATCCTCGAGGGCTTAGGCCGAAGAGAGGGGGAAATTGTTGTCACTTGCAGGAAAGCAGGCAAGTAGCAGGTCGATGAGTTGCCATTTCCAATGGAAGCAGATACGCTAGTGTTAGACTCTATGAGGCAACTTCTGGAGCTTTTGTAGTCGGTGGTGTACACCCTATTTGAGTGCCAACTGGCTATAGCCTTTGAGGAGTTTGTGGCTTCCCAGCCTACGGACTTACTGACCACTGCTCTTTAGCTGCAAAGCTAGGTAGGGTGATCCGTCCTCATCGAGAACTTCCAACTTGATTGATTTTCTGGCCTTAATAATTTTTGAAAAAATGGGACTTAACTCTTGCTTTCTTTCTTTTACAGACCCTGCTCGCTTTGCATATGGCCCAACAGAAGGTCAACTTAGACTATATCGGAGAGATCCACAACCTGAAAGAAGAGAATGCCAAATTGAAGAAAGACCTCGAGGATCAGGCCGCGGAGGCAAGGTCGTTCAACCTTTAGACAAATCAATACTTGGTGGAGAAAAACTCCGCCCTTAGCACCGTGGATTTCCAGAAGGCCGACCTCAAAAGGAGAGGCGAAGAGGTCAAATAGCTTCAGAAAAGAGTAGCTAGACTCACTGAAGAGGATGGCAAGAAAGAGAAGGGATTGAAGGCGAACTCTGAGCGTTTCGCGAAGGCGGAGGATGAGAGAGCTCAATTGTAGGAGACCTTTGAGAAGTGGAGAAGAGCGCTGGAAACAGACCT